AGCATGAAAACTATAACAAGCACAAAATGGTTACATGGTTGGTCACAGGAACCAAACCTATGCTGAAAGAGTTAATGTTTTGCAAGTCTCCAAAATATGATGACATAAAGGGGGTTGAATATATAAAGGTAATTGATTTAAGTTTTAGTAAATATGATAGAGTTTCACTTCAAATCTTTTGTAAAAAACTGTAGGAGGAGTTTGAAGAATGAGGAAACATAGAAACATAAATATGCACTTAGGTACAACTTAGAATCACTAGGAAGATTAACTGTTAGTGAGATTTAAGCGTGTGAACATGGCCATCATATTTTTGTGATTTATTGAAATCTCTTAAGTTTCCTTTGAAACTTGCACCTATAGTTATTTATCCAAAATACTCTAATGTTTTTATACTAAACTCAACTTGGCTTATATTATTTGGAGTATATTTCATCATTTATAAACAATTTTAAACTGCTCCAAATTTTTTGTAGTTTCTGATCTTAAAAGCTTTTGATAGAAGAGTACCATCTTTGATTAAATTGCACGACTATGAATCAACACAAACTGATGCATTTGAGGAGGGGATCTTCATTTTGACTTTTGAATAAAGGATTTTTAATGTCATCTTTAAAATAAGTTAGAATATACACTTTTACCTAATACTTTGTTATAAGTGTGGTCAAATCTCAAGGTAAAATATTGCTTGATAAAAGCAATGAAAATTTATTTTGTTATATATGTATTTTTTTATAAAATTATTTTTCTATGACAGTCCAAGCAGGCCTCACCTAGAAGGGGTGAATATAATGTGTATAGTACCTTCCAAAGCCATGAAGCAGAATTTGACTACCTAAAAAGCTTAGAAATTGAAGAAAAAATAAATAAAATCAGATGGTTGAAGCGAAAAAATCCAGCTCATTTCCTGCTTTCAACAAATGGTGAGTTACATATTTGAGACTAATTAATATGTACTAAAAATTGAAAATGCATTATTTCTAATTTATCTTTCTTTAATAATTACAGTATTTATATCTGCTCAGTTGTAGTGATGAATTTTAACAAATATGGTTTCAGTTGAAAAAAAAAGTGGTTTAGAAAGTAACCATCAGATCTTTATGAAATGTAACAAGATGATGCAATGTTAATCCAAAAAATGCTGATGATAAAGTAGTACAGGTATTCAAGAGAAACTTAAACGAGTTGGAACAGGAAAGAAAATGCCTTTTTAATTGTATGTTTATATGGCTGGAACATTTAATTGCTAATTACATTTAAAAACTCAGTCATTCAGAGTTTTCAGTATTAGGTAGATTGTAGAACTAGTAACAACCTTTATCCCAAAGTTTGAGGTCAGTTGGTAATTTTGTAAGCCATGAATTTTTACGCATGGGTGGTAGCCCAGTCGGAAACTATATAGAACAAGCATGTTCGGCAATGGGGATTTGAACCTGCGACTCTCAGATTGCTAGTCGAGCACCCTAATTACAGGCCAGTTGATAACCTGTAACACCTCATTATTGCTAAATTAAAATTTTTAACTGCTAGAAAAGCAGGCACAAAATTTATGACTCAAAGGGTGAAAATTTGGCTGTTTTATCGAGATAATTCTGCTTCAAGCTCAAAGTTTAATATCAAACAATGAATGATAATTTAATCATGGTAGCTTTGTTTGAATGAGTTAAGTAGTTTGATTTTTGCCAGCTTTTGCAGTTTAAATAAGATCAGCGTTGTAGCAAGCAGCAAATTTTAGTGCTTCAAGTTCATCAGCTTTCAAGCAAATAATTGCTCAGTTACATATTTCACATGACAAAGTGCCAAAAGTAACACAGGTATGTGCTATGCACTGAGCATGCAACTGGAAATGTATAAACGTCAAAAGTCGGAGAAGCTCTGATCAGTTATTATCATATTGCTAATACTGACTGACTATGCTGAAATGTGACACAGTTGTAACAGTTGTGAAATATACAAGTTTAATTAACCTTCATTGTTTGTGTTTATAACATAAAAGTCTTGGTAAAATAGAAATAATTTTATTTATTTACTGAACATGAATCCAATTTAACTCTTTTTTTTTTTTCTTCTTTTTTTTTTCCATATGGGGTTAGTAGATTACACCAACTTTGTAATCAAAACTAACCATCAGTTTCCATACTGTAATTTTTAATGTGGTATATGCATTTTCATGTAATTTGGCAAGTTTTCAGTAAACATTAGAAGTTTTTTTGTTCACAAAAAAGTTAGATTTTTTAATTAAACATTTTTACTAAAGATTTGTCTGTGAATATATGGAATCAAATTGATTTCCAAAACATACCTCTTCTCCCACTTATAGCTATTATTCAACTGCCAGGGTTTCTTCTTTGCCCATCTGAGCATTAGTCTGATTTTTTTCTTGCTTGCTCCAGTCTTTTATGCCCCATTCAATTACCCTTGGCAGTAATTGTCTTTTGATACTCCCCACTTACGTCAATGCACCCTCCATCCTAGTACTGTATGTAAGCACCTCTTTCAGATAATTTTATCACTTTTTCTTGACAAAGCATCACTGATGGATTTCCCAGTATTACAATTGTTCAGAGATACTTTGAATGTTATTGTGTTATCTATTTGATTTTGTAACATTAATAGTAATAATGTTCAAAAAAATTAATTTTATTTCTTCCGATTGGCAAGCGAATTATGGTATGAATTTACAGATTATTATTTTATTATTTCTGCCAATTAAGTCTCTCCTCTCCCACCTCTGATATCTAGTGTTGCACAACAATTGGTGGGGGGGACTCTCAGTTGAGACTTCCAGTGATCTTATTTGTAGTGAGGTGTAGGCATATATTTGGGGCTCTGAGGGTTGTACTCAACATTTTGGGGAGACTTTAGATTTGATTTTTCCTGTGCTTTCTTCTAGTCTGTTGGATTTTCAGCCCCTCTGTGGATCAGTGGTAAGTTTACGGACTCGCAGCACCACGGTTCAATTCCCTAGGATGGACTTGGCAAGATGGCTCGCTGTTGCTTTGCTCTAACAAAGCAACTTACTTTACTATGGTTTTTAAATTACCTATGACAAATGAAAAGGAAGCCACTTTGGGATAAGTTGCCTTTGATTTGTTCTAGTTTCTCCTAGATTCACAAGTTAATCACTCCTGAACCTATGTTGATTTTATTTCTGGTATTGTACATGTCCAACTTGGTTGTAGTTGGCTCCTATCTGCACTTTGCCTTAGCAATGTAGTCCCAGCACTATCAGCATTTGTGGTACACATGGGTCAGGTACAGCAGTTCTGGGTTTTTTTTTCTTCGGTCTCACATAGGCTTAGCATGGGTTCTGCTGTATTGTACAAGTTTTTTCCTCCCCTTCATTCCATCATACTCTGCACACACCATTCTATAGACGACGGGTTACAGCTGGCAACATCTCGATTGTTAGACCATCACATCCTGATTCTTCTCTCAGATACAACCCATGCAGGCTTCTGTTTTGGGACTACAACATCTATTCTTGCTCCAAGTCAATATTTCATCAGTCTGAGTATTTTTTATCTCATCTCTCAGTTGGGCTCAGCTGTCTCTCATCCTGCTCAATGCTATAGAATTAGACACGACACTCTTTCTCACCTCTCCTTCTCCCACTGCATGGATGGTTCTTTCTCTTCTGTGAATGTGACCATTACTTGAATCCTTTGGGAGGAGAACACAAGTGATCCTTCTATTGGTCTTTGAATGACAGGGATCATACACATCTATTTCCTGATTTCCACAGTTTCCTTAGTCAAGATCATTCTTCGATCTCGAGGGGTTAAGTCGGAATGCTACTACAATTTGGGTTCCCCTACTGCCACCTCACCTAGAGTTCCATTATCTTCGTGAATACCTTGTTTCAGAGATGGGGTACATATACCAACAGTCAGGAAATACAGAGGCTATGCACGGTGGACAAGGATTCCCTACACGATGTTTTCATCCTTCTTGCTCTTCAACAGGCAAGGTCTCATGGTCTGGGCTTCTTAAGGGGTAAATCATCAGGCTTCACTCTCGACTATTCCACAGTGGTGTCTTATGTTTCTCATCAAGGAGGCATGTGGTCTAGGGCTCCTTATTTTTGAATTTTGGACATCTTTTCGTGGGACCAATCTTTATTTTATCACCCTTCTAGCTTGCCATGTTCCACGGGTGATGCTTGTGGTAGCAGATCCATTTTCTCAATCCAAACAAATTCTTCTGACAGAATAGATGTTGCATAACTAGGTTCAGTTGGATTGCCTCTCATTTTGCAACTCTAATTGGTTGGTTGGCCTCTCAATGGATCACACAACTCCTGGCAATTTGGTCCCCTACACCTCACCTTTGGGCCTTGGCAATAGTTGCTTTCCATCTGGACAGGACACTATTACCACTCTCAACCTTCTCTCCACTTCATATGTTACCCAGGGTAGAAAACATATTTTGATCCAACCCATAGGTTTTTATAATTGTTTTGGCAGCTTTATAGACTACCATTTGATTATCACAACTACATATTTTTGAGTCCCCAGTACTATCCAGATTCCTCACATCGTTTTGGGTAATTGGTTCCAAATGACCATTCCAGTTACCTAACAGGTAGATTCATATTGTGCTCTTTCTGTACACATGTTTGTGACCTGACTTTTTTATGCCATGTATCCTCTTTTACCTGGAGGTTTATTTTTCATGGCTTCTGACCTACAGACATCATCAGTCAGAGTGATTTGTGCTGTTTGTCCACAGACCACTTTCTCATTCTTTCTATTACCCACGAGCTGCTTGCATGCGTGCTTCATGAAAAATTTTAATTATATTATTATTATTACATATTTTACCTATTCTACTCTTAAACAACTTAAAAAGATCCGTACTTTTAATTTTAGTTACTTTTATAATAATAAATAAAGAATAAATATGAAAAACAAGAAACAAAGTACTTATCCAATCTTCTTTTTTCTTGCCCTCGATTCTCGAGGAGAGTTAAGCCTGATTTTTTTTTTTTTCTCTCTCTAACTATGGGACAAGAGCCATTACAAATTCATGCTAGCTAGTCGTTAACTTTCCCATGGGAACGATGTTGCTACTCTGAGTGAAATTGACGGTTATCTGTTCAAAACACAATGTTATACACTGTGCCATTTGATAGATGAAAACCTTGACTTTCTATTGTTATAAATAATATATAATGAAATATAAGAGAGAACTATCAACAATTGTGAAAGAGAGAGGATGTGGCAGAAGGGGTCTAATTTTCTATTGGATATCTCTGTAACCAAACAGAATTGAAGGCTGTAAAAATTATGGTCTGTTTGAGCAATAACGATTTTATAGAGAATATTTTACGTTTAATTTCGTACATTTTCGAGGGGTGATGGATAAAATAGGGAAATTAAGGATTTTTTGTATATATTTCCTTGTATAATTAAGACCTAAAACTTATATACTATTAAAATATTGATTATTAGCTGAGATTTTATGCTATTCTAATTGGTATAACATAAACAAAAAGTGGTATAATAAAATTGTAAATGTAAGACACTAAAACTTTGTGTCATGCACAGTAAATTGTACCCATGGAGATAGGGTTAAGTGAGATGGTTTACATCACACAGTCATCTTTTCGATGTTGGGTTCTGGGATAGATTATTCATTTTCTCACATTACTATCATGTGGCTGTTCATAGATTGAGGGGTATGAGATTCCCTCCGATGAAGATAGTATGATCCTCTTTCCTTCCCCCACATGGATGTCGGTACCCAGTGACCAGGTTTTGGATGGTAGTTGACTTACCGACAGTATGATCCTCCTCCTACCCTCACGTAGATGTCGCTTCCCAGCAGCATGTGTTTTGGATACTGTTGATTTGCTGTGTATAGTCTGTCACACCCTAGCCAATCTACATCTAGGGGCACTTTCTTTAATCTTACTAACTTTTATGTTTTTTGGGATTGAGTTTAATAAATAATGTATGGTTCAGATCACTGTCCTCCAATAGTTCTCTTCCCATTTGGATGTGCTCCTCCATCTTTCCGCCCATATATGTGGCATCTTTCCAGAATAGGCAAAGGGGTATACCTGGTTCAAAAGTGATGCTGTCTTCCATGTATGATCTTCAACTCCAAAGATCTTCTTCTGGGGATTGTCCACCTATTCAATGTGGTAATGTAGCTTTGTGTGAGCGAAGGTAATGTACCGTATCAAAGTTATAGTTTTCCTATATGGAAAATGTATTTTTGATAGGTACTTACCTTCTTTCTCACACATCCCACCCTTCTCCCCCCACTGAAAACTGGTGCTTACATTTTCTGTCAATACAAAGATATGAAAAAAATTATAATAGAACTTTTGAAAAGAGCACAAACCAAAAATTATAACATGAGTACTGCCAAATAAGAAGTGATAGTTCAATAGAATTGAATAGAGAGAGTTACTTGCCTCAAGAATGTGTGTTGTGTTCTTATTGATGAAGGTTTGTCATATGATAATTTGCATGCAAGATGCATTGGAATTAGTCAATTCCAGATGGGTGGAAGTTTCAAGGCTTATGGTTTGCGCAAAAATATGTTTGCACAGAACAAGAACAGCTATTTATGTGAGAGGAGGTAAGTACCCATCGGAAATACATTTTTAGTATCGTAAAATTATTACTTTCAAAATTTATTTTGTACAATACTAAACTATGATATAGAAAGAGTGATTGTCCCTCCACAACATTGAACACTTTCCACATTTTTCTAATATGGGCCTACAAATCATACAATACTTATGTGTAATGTGTTCTGGACAAAAAATTACAGTTTTCAATCAGTATATGATATGATTAGCAATTCCCACTTTATGGACCTGTTAAAGGTGTAAAAGTGATATCATGGTATACTAGGTTTGGAAAGACTAACTACAAGTAGCTGAGTAGGTTTTGGCTAGTCCGGATTATACTTGGTTATATAAGGGCTGAGAATGGATGATCAAATATTACTGAACTATTTAGATGGGGTTTAATAACTTATTATGCATCTTTTTTATTTTCCTTGCTAGATTTATTGTTTTTCACTTGTTATTTGGATTATGACTGATAAGCAGAATATCCTCAATGCTTTTTGGGAGCTATTGCTTAAGACCTTTTCTTTTTAAAGTCGCATATTTTGTACTTCCCTAATGAATGGTATCATTTTTCGTGTTTTGTTTTATGTCATTTTTGGAGCAGTTTATTTTTCCATACAAGTTTGGTTTTGCTTTACATATGTGTGTTTATGTGTATTTATATTACATTTCTCTGTTGTTTCTAATCAATGTTAAAGAAATTTTTGCTTTTTTCACACAGAGAACAATAAAAATATTCTCAATTTTGTCTTTATATACAACATTAACTGTTTTAAACAATAGCTCTAAAATTTAAAAAAAACAAGAAGGAATCCCCAGTAGCTGTGGCCCTTAATTCTTGTAGGCAGGATTAGAGTAAATTAATCTATGGGACTTTTTTACTAGCTATATTTTTGTGTGCCATGAAAAATATCTACCAACCTACCCTCAAATTGAAATTATTTTAGGCAGGAGTAGAGTGAGTTGATCTGTGAGACCTTGGGCATGGTCAAATACATCAATCAAAAGGGTTTGACCTCCTGAGTCCAAAACTGTAATTAGGTCTCAAATTGGTCAAGAGATGACTGAGCTGTGAGCTAAATGTTTGTACTTGAAAAAAAAACTAAGCCATTCTATGAGCCACTATGTTGCGGCTAAAAATGTAACCTCCATGAAAAGATTTTTGTAGCCTTGAATTAGTGAAATCATGGAATGTGTATAAGAAAGTATCCTGTAATAATGCACATAGGCAAAACAAAATGATGAATACTGCATTAGTACAGTTAAAGTTTAGGCTTGTACTTTTCAGGGAGGCATTTTGGTTTTTCATGTTTAAATTAATCTTGCTGAGTGGTATAATTATCTGACTGGTACATCACAGTTATAGTTGATGCCCTTAGCAAGCATTAATATTAAATCGTCTCACACATTACCATTGTGATTATAACTATAAGCTAGTTGGTAGTGACTTCTCAGAGGAGGAAAATGAGACCATGCCTCCTCAAAAATTGTGAACAGATAAGATATTAGTACCTGTATTTTATCTGTTTTGAGCATAAACCTTATGAAAAACTGCATATGTTTTGGAGCAAAATGCTCAAACATCTTCTTGTCTTACCTTTGTGTCATTTAGCTAGGTGACACTTCATAGTATGAGGCACAGAGTAGTTATACCTCTTGACATTTTATCTGTATAATTTCTCTATGCTGTAACAGAAACAGCTGAGAAAAGCTGAGTCTTCTTACTGAGTTTAACAAGGAATTTGAGGCTGGCTGTACAGCTAATGGAGCCATTCAAAATCTAAGTTTTAACAAGAGGGATCTTCAGTAGCACCTACCCTCAAATTGAAATTATTTTAGGCAGGAGTAAAGTGAGTAAATCTGTGAGACCTTGGGCATGGTAAAATACATCAATCAAAAGGGTTTGACCTCCCGAGTCCAAAACTGTAATTAGGTCTCAAATCAATCAAGAGATGAAGCTTTGAGCTAAAAGTTTGTACTTGAAAAAAAACTCGGAGCCATTCTGTTAGCCACTATTCCATGGCTAAAAATAACTATTGAAAATCATTTTAAGAAAAGTTTGCAACCATGAGAAGCACAATGTTTTGGTGATCAAGATCTGGTGCAAGTTCAGTTTTTTCAAGGATATAAACAATTAAAAGTGAGTTTCAATAAATGATGTGTAGTAACTTGGTTAATTAAAAAGTATGATGATTTATCTTTACTTGGAGATTATTTTGGCATTTTATAGTTTCTACACTAGCTAGGCCTTGTCTGACACAGTGATGTTACCAAAGAATTTGCAGCTCTGAAAGACCAACAACTCGAATTCACATATAAATAATTCAAGACTCCTAAAATAATTACATGTTTTACTGTTCTTTATTCTTGGGGGTGGGGTTAAAATATCACCAGCCTCCTCCTCGGTATTAATTTTAAGCTGCCATTGAATCTAACTTATTACACAGTATTGGTAAAGATTTGTTAAACACGTTGATAATTTAGCACTTTATGTGGGCATATTTTTAACTTTCATAAAGTTTCCTAACAATATATGCTATGTTTGACACTTTTAACTCTTAAGTTAGAAAGAAGAAAAAACAATCAGTTAAATCAGCATATAAAGGATGCGTAATTGCTTTTTACTTTGTCATCAGATAAAACGATCAAGTTGTGGAAAGTGTCTGAAAGGGATAAGATGATTGATGGGTACAATTTGAAAGATGAAAATGGAAGAATGAAAGATCCCACCTCCATTACTACTCTACAAGTGCCAGTATTAAAACCCATGGAGCTTATGGTTGAAGCAAGTCCCAGAAGAATATTTGCAAATGCTCACTCATACCACATAAATTCCATTTCAGTAAATAGTGACCAAGAAACTTACCTCTCAGCTGATGATTTGAGGATTAATTTATGGCATTTAGAAATAACAGACCAGAGCTTCAGTATCCTTTTTATTACCATGTAGTTAGTTTTAGCTGTGAACCTTCTAAATGTCATTTGATGGTCTGATACTTAAAAATAATAATTTGATGGGAAACTTATGGAGAAGGATAACCTGGATATTCAGTGACTAGCTTAAGTCTTATTGAGATAATTAATAATGTTTTTTAGTAATTTAACAGCTCAGTCAAAAACAGAAGAAGCAGTGTATTGAATAAATGGTAAACAGCCGGTAGCTGATTAAGTTAGAAACCATTAATGTGGGTGAAATTGATAATAAGAACTATGAATATTCATATCAAGAATAGATTTGTATGATATGTTACATTGTGAAATTACATTTTAAATTTAAGTGTGCTGCAACATAGCTCATGGCAGTGAAAGTTTAGCTGATAAGATTGACTGGTTTTGTTAAAGATTGCTAAGTAATAATAATAATAATAAATTGTCACTATTTATGACATTTAAGTTATACCTTTTTCAAGTATTGTAAATTCAATTTAAATCTAAGGAAAACAAAAAGAATAGCTAAAACCTTGAGTGAAACTGTACAATATACAATAGTTTGATGATGAAAGGGAATTCTTTATCTTACTGATAATTCTTGTATTCTTTATTGTTTTAGTATTGACACTAATTTTTGTAGCTAAGTAAATGGATAAGGATTATAAAGAGGTAATAGAAACAGTACCTGTATATAATAAATATAACATTAAAATGAAGGATAACAAGGACCTATTGGCCCATCTAGGCTGTACCATCTACTAATCTAAATGCTTAAAAACACAACATCAAAGGCAGCCTTTATCATTCAAATATCTATCAAGCCTTCCCTTAAATTTACTGCATCTACCACATCTGAAGGCAACCCATTCAAAAGGCCAACCATCTTCTTAGAAAAATAACTCTCTTAGCTGTAGATGATTCCTACCATGCTAAAATTTATATTTGTCACCTAGCCCTATCATTCTAATCATTAAGCACAAAAAAAAGCTGATGACTGACACTATCAATTCTCCTAACAAAACTTAAGCACTTCAATCAGAATCTCTCTAACTCAAGAAATAGCAATTTCAAAGATCTTAGCCTGTCATTTTAGTAGTCCTTCTCGAAACCCTTTCCAAGAATTCGATGTACTTCCTAAGGAAAGGAGTCCAAGACAACATAGTACTTCAAATATGACCTAACCAGTAACCTATACGATGACATTATAACCACTTTAGACTTGTTTTCAATATTTCTCTAGATACAACCTAAAATCCTATTTGCCATACCACTAACAGCATCATACAACTTTGATAGCTTAAGAAACTAATAAACCAGAACACCAAGATCCTTTTCCTTTATAACATTGTTATGTTTATTCCAATCAATATTTGAAACCAAGAAATGTTGACTTGTACAATTTACTCAAAATTAATCTTATTTTTAAGTATGCCTTAGTTACATCATGTAAAAAAGTAATGTAAGAGAATTTTCACAAATGATAATATTTGATTTCCATGGATTAGGACTGTATGCCAGAAAAGTAGATTAAACTGTAGTTATATGATTTATATGTTCTGTAAATCTTTGTTTCAGAAATGTTATTTAAAGAAATAATTTCGGTAAAGCCTACATTCCCAGTAAATATTAAAAGTTTTTGAGCATTTGTTTTAAATAATGCATATAATGCATTTTTGTCATATTTATCTTCAATCTCATCACGGGGTTGTAATGAGGTTTACTAATTAACAACTTTTGTATAAACCGCATATTGTTTTAAATATTTTTTGCTTAGTAGTAAAATTAGGTGTTAATTATAAGATTGAGTAGATTGGTTCTATAATAAGGATAATAGACAAAAATTGCAGATGACATTTTTGGAAATTCCATAAGTCTCATATATAATTAGAAAACCTACTATTATTGTAATTGGTAGTCTGTGTAACTATAATAATGAGCAGATTATTTGAGAAATATACCCACCCTTTTTTAATGTTATTTGTAATATTGCCTACCTACAGGTATCTATGAACTTTAAAATAATTATGGGTTTAGTTGTTTTAATGTTACATTATTAAAATGAACTGTTAAATACATTAAAAAAGTGTGTGTTATTTTATTATTAATTTTGAGGTATATAATTATTATTCTCATTATAGTGTTGCCCGGTGGGACAGCAGTAAGCTTACAGACTTACAATGTCAAAATCTGGTGTTTGATTCTCTGTGGTGGACACAGCAGATAGCCCATCATGGCTTTGCTCTAAAACAAACTCATTATAGTTTTGATAAGATGAACATTTAACCATGTGTTGCAGTTTGGCCACTTGTGATGCGTAATGGCTGATAATGAAAATACATTAGTTTTTATACATGTATGATAGACAAGCTTTAATATATTTTCATCCTTAGCATCATTCAAGATATTGTTGATATTAAGCCAACCAATATGGAAGAGTTAACAGAAGTCATCACTGCAGCAGAATTCCACCCTTCTCAATGTAATATGTTCGTCTACAGCAGTAGTAAAGGGACTATTAGGTTGTGTGACATGAGATCATCAGCACTTTGTGACCATCATTCAAAGTGTATTTATGAATTAATATATTTTTGTCTTGAGTAAATGTGATTGTTTCTTTAGTGAAAGTAAGGTTTTGCACAGTTTTTTCTTTGTACAAAACTTGAAGATAGCTTTGATATATGAAAACATTTGTTAGCTGAGTTCTTGCACAGATCTTAAAATATAGCGTTCATAAGTGGAAACATCGGCTCACGTAGACGTAGATCTTGAAAGTCGAGTTGTTCAAAACTTACTGGCTTACGTTGATCTGACTCATTTTATTAGCTGTACTATTTACTATAGATCATTTTCCAGACGGTTCTGCTATGATTAGTGTCTGGCAAAAAGCTTCAGAAAATATTTCTTTTGCAACATCTCAACCGATAATTGGTCCACTTATCAATGCTATTTTCAAGTTTTGAACAACTCGACTTTAAAGATCTACATGAGCCGATGTTTCCATTTATGAACGCTATATTTTAAGATCTGTGCCTGAACTCAGCTAACAGATGTTTCCATATATCAAAGCTATCTTCAAGTTTTTTCTTTATTTTCTTAATAATTTTATTGCACTTATTTGCTGATGATGTGACTTTTAGCATAAAGTACAAATTTAAAGTACCTTATGTAATAAATATGAAGTTTTAGTTAGTATTTTTTTAACAGCCTACTTTTATTTCTTTATCTCCCAGAGTAAAATTTAAATATTTACTATAATTTTTCAAAGCTATTAAAATATGGATTTGTTGTCTAAAATAGTTTTATCTTTGTTAAGAAAAAAATTATTGCCCCTTGATTATTTAAAAAAAAGTTTGAATAATAATTATTTTTCATGCAGATTTAATGCCTTCTATTCCTCCTGTATTTGTTTTTATTTTTTATACAATCTACTATCATTTACACTGTCTCTTTTTTCGGATGTTTTTTATCATAAGGTTATTATGAATGACCAATCCTCTCATGATGCATCTTTTGTGGATATGCAGTAATGAAAATCTGATCCATTAGCTTTTCTAACTTGCAAATTAATATGCTGCCTACATAAATGTAATACTTGAATAGGGGGCATATATACATTGAATGTTGACAGAAAGAGATTGTACCACTACAGTTTACTGATTTAACATCTTAATCATACTTTGAAATGTGTATTAATGATCTCCTTTACAGGTTCTGTGTGGCTTTTAGTATTACAATGAAAATTTTTTATGAATAGAAAACAGGATTTCACCATACAAGTAAAAGAAAGCAATTAAAATGTTCAGAATGTTTTGAAAAGGGGGGAAATAACAATGAAGTATTCTGTATGATGTGTAACAAAAAAGATGTTAATATACAGTACTAGAGATCTGGGAGGGGGTTTGGCAACTTATAAACTTACAAAGCTACCGCAGTCCTGGTATAATATCTAGGGACAGTGAAATTTCAACATTGATAGCATTAATGCTACATGGCAAAATTCTGCTTGAAATGGAGTGTTATATATTGACCTTTTGTGTGCATTGAAATTTTAAGTTTGATGAGTATTAGTCAAATGCTCAAGAATGTGTGATTGCTTGTCATTAGTGCAATATTCCTAGTCATGCAGAAGTAGAGAAGTTCTTTAACAGTATGAGTGTTACTGTAAAAATAAATTGTCTCATTTCATTCACAGATAGTGCACCTGTTAAAACATCTTTGCACAGAAAAATGAACCTATTCTGCAAAACTTGAGGGTCACTGAGATTAGCTGCAATTGGAACATGCAACCTTCATACAGTTCACAATATTTTGGACTTTGAGGTTTATTGTGAGACATTAAAAGTTTTGCCACAAATGTGTTTGAAGGTACCTCCTGCTTGTTGGGAAGATTATAGAAATGTACAAGCCCTCCTGAGCCTGCGTACTTGTTTTTTCCTGTGTCATGTTCAGTGTAGTTTCACTCTATGAGCATCTACTTGAACAGGGCATCATGAGTGCTTCTTGTCTGTTTTACCAAAAATGAAAAATGTAGGTTTTGGAAATGTGCAGTACAAAAATAATTGTTGACTGCCTATAAGGTGTATTCTTCAAAGTAAAACTTAACATTCTTTCATTCATCTGGCCCAGCTTTGAAAGATTTCAATTCAAAAGTTGTTTTAAAAAGGACCACCATAAACATATTCAGAAATTAGTTGTCTTCTTAGGAAACTTATGATGGATTTTTTTTTAAGCCAGAAGTAGTTAGTTTACCAGGGGATCTTCCATAGTAGGCAACATTCACTGGTAAGAAATTACATATAAATACCAGTGGCCTTGGCATAGGAATTAAGGCTTAACCTTAATAATCAAATTGAATGATTTAAAGATAAAAAAAAGATATTTCTGATATGTTCTAATTTTTCTCTGTTATTGTCTCTAAATACAAAGTAAATTTCCACTGGGAAATCCTGTTCTTCAGCAGCTCAAAGCTTTACCTATTGTTAACGACAAACATATAGGAAGGTGTCATATGTCCCATAGTGACAGAGAAGCCGATGTTGTGAAGTAGAATAGACTCTGTGGTTAATAATGTAAAAAGAAGAGTGATTTGCAGAGAGGAATGAAGCAAATGACTTCATTTCAAGAGGAAAAACTTTAGCTGAGAAAGCACAAGAGTAAAATAAACCCTGATTAGTAAAGTCAAAAAAAGAAACTGTGTAACACCATTCAAGAGGAAAGTTTGACAATGTAAGATGTGAGGCAAACAATGTTTGACCAGTTTAGATCAGTTGTTTAAAGAGCAAGAGACTTTTACAGGGTGGAAAAGAAAATTGATGAGTTATCAGACTAGTCTGTTTGAAAGGAAGAGCAAGAAATATTAAATTTATTTTGTAGTTTTCTTGCATATTCCATTCGTGTTTTATCAGTAACATCATATTTGTGAATTTAAACTAAAAATTGTGAGAAAAAATGTATTACGCAAGCTTTGAATTTTAGGTTCACCCTGTTAGTCTTTGTGGCATTATTCTACATGTACTCTAAAATTTGTATTTTTTGAAATAAATTTTAAAATGGGATAAATAGTAAAAAGTAAATTTAAAAATAATTAAGTATAAGAAGTGTATAAATGAATGTGAACAACGGGATTGGTTATGTATATTAAACTACTTTTAAAATCCTTTTGTATTTTCTTTTGCAAACCTCTTCAGTTTTTCTCCATGATGGGTGGAATGCTTGGGATTAAGAGTTTCAAGTCTTTTTGTTGCAGCAATATTTCAGTATTTTGGATTATACTCGCTCCCTAAAATTTGTGGAGGAGGTACAAGTGTACATTCAAGTTTTTCTATGCCACACCCCTCTTTAAGATCTGAAGGTTGTTTACCATTAAACATCTTAAACTAAAATACATATTATGCACACAAGTTACCCAATCTTGCTAATAGTTGTGGAAAAGGTAGACTTTAATTTTATAGTAAAGAAGGAGGCATTTTAAGATAGATGTATAGTTTCCACTTAAGTAGTTACTTGTTACTTCTGCAAGTGTAAGCAAACCATTTAAAATGTTCCTTGTTTATAATACTTGTTGTAACATAGAGTCTTGTAAATTTTTTGTCATAACTGTTAGACTGGTTCTTAAGACTGACTTTAAATGATAATAATTTGTGCTTTTTGACTGTTTTAATACAAAAGTCACTGCACAGACATAATGTAAAGTCACTGTAGTTACATTTGAAGAAAAAAAAACATCCATAGTTAATTGAATTTTTTTTATTATGAATATTATGTTTACCAGCATTTAATACTGTAATGTTTCATGTAATAGATGTTATTTATGAGCTATAGTTGCTTGAAACTACACTTCACAACTGTTTGAATTTGTTGCCTTAGGTAAGTGAGCTACCAAAGCGGTTACAGCACTTTTGGTTCTATCTTGCAGATGGAGACAAAATATTTATGCCCAAATTCAGATATTTTCCACAATGTTGTTTCATTGAAATATGGCAACAGCATGATTATGACTTTTTTTAAGTGTAATTAAAAAACGAGCTTACATATACATAATGTCACATCTTCAATGATCTTCGACATCCTTAGGGTTTATGGGTGGGAATCTGGTATTCTGTCCGTTAACTTGATTTTAACTTGACAACTTTTGATACTTTCCAAAACAAAATTATGAGTCATATTGCATTGTACACTAGATTGTAAAACAAGAGTACAAAGGCCTTGACAGTCTATGGCTGGCCAAGACTTCCCAGTAAAACACATAAGGTTAAGAAACATTAACAATATTTTTTAAGAGGTCACTGAATAAATAAGGTTTTCTTGTGTTAAGTAAATTTTAATGTTTGCTCTATCTTTTTGTATTGCTCAGTGCTGTTAATAACTCCATGCATGAAATATTCATATTAACTATTAAAACATAGTCCAGCTTTTAGTGTTTAATACCACAATATACATTTTTTTTATACTGCATACAAATAGCGTGCCACACTTTTGGCTGCCATAGTCCATTCTAGTTGATGGATATTGGTATTAAATTAAAGGTCTCTTCAGCAGACAAAAAAATAGTACACCTCAGATTTGAAATCCATAACGGAATAAGTAATAGGAATATGGAGAAAAGCATTGTTGACTAGCACAATTTTTAACATGAAATATAACCTGTTGGAACTAAGCAAGACTGTAGGTGTGAAAGTGTAAATTACTTGATTTACCCATCCACAAGTTCACTTTACGAAGGTGAACACTAAATATACCATGGTTAAAACTTTTGGTGAAGGTTTTTGTCAATTTTTTCAACTATACAATCATTTTACTTTAAAACAGTGTTTGAAGAACCAGAAGATCCCACGAGTAGGAGTTTCTTCTCAGAAATTATCTCCAGTATATCGGATGTGAAGTTTAGTAATAATGGGCGGTACATGATTTCTAGAGATTATTTATCTGTGAAAGTGTGGGATTTGAATATGGACAGTAAACCTGTTGAATGTTATCACGTGCACGAGTATCTTCGGTCCAAGCTATGTAGTTTATATGAAAATGATTGTATCTTTGACAAGTTTGAGTGCTGTTGGAATGGAACTGATAGGTATGAAAGTTTATTTGTTTATAGTAATGGGATTGTTGTATTAGGATATTTTCTAAATTAATGAACATTTATATTATAAAAAGAAGATACTAATTAGTAGTTTGTAATTGTTTTTTTTTATGTTTTTTTTTTTTGTTATGTTTTCACGTGAAGATACCACAAAAACACCATGAAACAAATAGTGATTATATAAATATTTTTGAAAACTTAAAACCATAACTGATAATAAAATTAACTGACAATTTCATGAGTTTAATGTAAAACTTAAGTTGTTTGTTTATTATACATAAGGAATTTAATAAATCTATCTCGATTTATACTATTTCTTGTGTGTGATTATGATTACATAAAGGTTTTTAAAAAATATTTTTTTTTAATTTATGCTTGACTAAAATTACTTAAGATTAGTTTTTAAAACTTATTTATCACATTTAAAAAACTCTTCTCACTATTAAGTATGAATATTACTACACAAAAATTGCTCTTAATGAATATAATTATTTTATTTATTACTGCTTTATTAGTTATTGAAAGGATGGGTGTCAATAATGGACAACTGCATCACAAAACAATCAGATGGGGTGGAAATGTGGTTAAAACAGCTATAGGTAATCTTGAATGTTGCACATCATAAACTAAAGCAATGATAATATGTTTCAAAGTTTTATTTTAATACAGCAAGTATAAAGAAAATAACATGAAGTCATTTGGAATAGTTCAGTAGAGTATGGGATTCATATTGGCAGGGAATGTCTCACATATAGAGATGTTGGCCTATGACAATTTTCAGCTACATTCTAAATTAAGGACTTGCAAAATATGTATGTTGAAGACTCCATGGTTAGCCCTGGGAGGTGTAAGACCCTTATGGTGCTGAAGTTACACTTGTGCTAATGGAGAAACCATTCAATGTTAAATATGGGGTAAATATCCACAAAGTGCATTAAGGAATTGAAAGGTCTTTCTATCAAACCCAATTTCTGTAAAAAATATGAGTACAAAATGAGACTGTAGTTTTAGATAAAGACAGGAACCACCTAGATAATGTTACACGTGAAAACATGAGTAAAAAGAAAAGTGTCAATAGCACACATCATGTATTGTCAATGCTGACCTTCCTTTTACAAGAATAAAAGCATAGACAAGACATGGGATAGAGGGATATCCACTGAAGGTCAGGAGTCCAAAAGTTTGCAATTACCCTGGTCCCTTCACATTCATCTTCAAAAGCATGAAGTTGCAGATAACAGAACAAATACTTCTCACAACATGTTTTTGTGTAGTAATATGAGGAACAGTGTGTTTATAGGTTAAAGTGCAATGGGTATGTGTGTGTAGATAAAGGCATTATCATACCATCTGGAAGTATGTACTGTAAAAGTTACAGGTCTGGATAATATAGTAACATGAACTCTATGAGTTGGCTATGACATTTGATATAACACAGTTTAGTAGAATTGTGTTAATTTATTAAAGAGTCATATCACCAGCAAATACCAGGTTTTTAATTACAATGACTAATACAATCTTACTGGAATTAACAAAGAGTAGTTCTTTCAGGTTGTCTCTTTTTTTAATGGCATGTGTATTTCTTTCAACCTCACCCCTCATACATGTCTCAATTTTATCAAAGTTAAGAGTGTGTATGCCTAAGAGGGTATTGTGTAGCGTATTTTAAGCTGGTATGCCATTTGAGTTGCATGATTAGGGGTGAGAGAAATTCTCATACAAGTAACAGTTTGTCAAGTGTAGAACAACTAAAGGAATGTCTTCAGAAGGAAGATTTATTTGATGTTGATCAGAATTTCCATTACAAATTAAATTTACTTGATACAAGTTTCAGAAATGATAAGCCAAGTTGCATATAGAAATAGCAAAAGTGAAGTTTGACTAAGATCAGATGTGTCATTGAGCCTGAAAGGAGGAAGACTAAAGGTGTATGGGGGGGTGACCTTCAGGTGTAGTTATGCCTATCTTGCAAATACGACACATTTGAGTTTACCTAAGGATTGTTTGTATATTTTACAATCATTTCTGATCCACAAAGAAAATGAATAGGTTTGAGAAAGATATCCAGCCTTTCAGCATGCTATACAGCTAAATTTTAAAAATTTCTCATACTTTTTTTAAGGCTACATTGTAATTTAACTATTAGAAATTATCAGTTCAAATAAGCAAAGATGTATACTCAGGAACACTTATCGCACAATAGGTGTTCCATTATTAGCATGACGGTGGTCTACTATGGGTGAAACTCCGAGTATGTGACATACACCCTATATTTTCCATGAAATGGTTTCATTTATAAAGTGCTTGAGCAACAGTTACGTAATGCAGCTTATCAAGAGTTCTATTGACAATAGTGAATGCAAATGTCTAAATGACATAACTGTAAATTAATTCGATTGCCAGACAAATTACATGAATATAAGGTTTGTTTCAAATGGATGTCATTTAATACAGAGGCAATGCATACTGGTATTATTAGACTTGTGAATATATTTGTTCCATAAGTGCATAAAATGTATTCCTATTAACATGTAACTTTTAATCCACTAGGGGGGGGGGGGCTGCATCCTTCATTATTATGATGTGATAGGGATATGACATGATACCATAAACCTGTCATTTCTGTTACTATATCTGTGCAAGTTTTCATCTAAATCTGATTTAAGCAGTTAAAGAAAGATCTTTATTGACATCCATCCTTTATAAGGGTTATCAGTTCATGAATACCTTTTTATATAAATAAGAATTTAATGGTGGCTGAAAATGTTGCAGTTTATTAGGAGAAAGGTGTATATTATTTTATTTAATATATGTTCAGTGTAATAGAAGTGAGTGCAGATTTACTTTTCATAACACTATATTTGTAAAAATCCAGTTTCAAGTTATTTTAGATTTGCCTTATATTTTGTTTTATTTGGGTTT